ATTATGGATACAGCTAATATCAATATACTGGCAGCTAAAATGGACCGGGCAAGAAAAAATTACATTGGCATGTAATTAATCCCTGTAGAATCACTTGGGGCTCTAAAAAGTGAGTATCCCTTTGGTATGAACTGCGTGGTAATGTAACACCTAGTAAAGGAATAACACCTCAGTGGTCTTATTAACACATGTACATTCCACAGAGCTAAAAGAACACATTAGTTATGAAAATCATGGCCTAGGACAATACCTGAGAACAAACCCAGAGGTTCTTTGAAGGATTTCAACTGTGCTTTAGTTAATTGTTTCATTCCCACTTCCCAGTTTAAGCAGCTTAGACCTTAACAAGATAGTGAAAAGACCAGACAGCTGTTTTCCTATTTTAAACCTTTAGTTTAACATCAAGAGTAGATTTATCAGTAGAAAAGAAACTATTCTGAATCTCCGTGTCTTTTAATGCACAGTTAGATTCCACTGCACATAAGAACATACACTCTGTCTTGAAGAGTTAATCTTATCTGAAAAGCAACAAAAAACCCTACAGAGAATCTGACAATGCACGAATAGAGCTGCAGGAAAAAAACTTTAACAGCTAATAGATAAGACTTCTTAAACAAAGCCAAACAAAATAAACAGTGAATAAAAATTTCCTCATAGTTGACCAATAGTAATAGAATCAAAACCAATCAAATAAACCTACTGCAACATCCTCTTCCAATTTACTAAGTGTTAATTCTGCATCATCTTCTGTTATTTCTTCTTCTTCTGGTTCTTCTGTTGGGTATGCTGGCCTGAAATTAATTCAAAGAACAGCAGAACTTTTAAACACAATAAATTGTAAATACCTCTGCAAACAAGTCATGTCATGAGAAAAATGGATGATATGGAATATACCTAGATAATAATTAGTGTTTCACAACTTAAATAAATATATACTCTGCCTTGAAAGTCTTGTTCATCTTGGACTGTCTTAAAAGTAAAGGCAGTACAATACATTCACACCACAAAGTCACCTAGGAAGTAAATTTAAGGGTTTTTCTCTATTGGTCTAAGCTCTTAAAATTCAAGTGCAAGTCATCACAGGCTTATTTGCAGCCTGCAGTGGAATTAGTGTACTAAAGAGAAGTAACAGTAAAATATTTCCAAGGTAGAAATTACTTTGCTATATCTATTTCAAAACCCATTTGAAGAAAAGAATGGAATAAAGAACACTTTTAAAGACATTTTCATATACTTGAGATTATTTGTCATCTAATTTGTACTAAGATTTCCTTCAGATTAAATAAAATTAGTCTACTTGTAACACAATCATACTGTGCACAACTCCAGGAATTTACTACTGATTGATAGAACCTAAAAGGACATGACATGTTTCAACTCAAATATAGATTAACAAGGAGTTATGTGTAGGGAAATAGCAAAAAAGAAAGTCACCAGTTAAACATTAATTAGCTACATCTGTGTGAAACTGCATTAGGAATTAATTGGTCACCCTGCTTCAAGCCTAGTTGAATTTTCCATCTCATGAAACGTCAAGTAAAATGGTTTTAGTCATTCCCATGTTTTATTTTACCACTACAACTTACATCTGTTTGCTGTAAAACAACGCATAAGGGACGACGCTTATAAGTGTACTGTACCTTTTCCAGCTAAACCCAGTGTTTTTCAAGGCTTCTTCAGCTAAACAATCCAGAACATAGCACACTTGCTCTCCGCAGCCTGTCTTTAATTTTGAGGGAGGAAAATCCACAGGCCTTCCCTAAAATAAAGAGACAGGCTGTTTACAAATGGCCTACCAACCCAAATTTCCTCAAAGGGAGGTAAGTTTTGTACACTAAAGCCAAGAGTCTTGTGTATGAGATTTTATTAATGACAATTTACATTCTTCTCCTGTGCAGCTCCAGTGAGGCAAAGGAAGGAAAAGCAGATGAAGCCAAGGAACAGATGCAGTGTAGAAATCTTTAAACACATGGTAAGAGCATACTCCCAGGTAGCAGAAGAGGCAGAAGCCACAAGAGATCTGGATAGTCAAGCACACGAGTGACAAGGCAAGAACAGCTACAGAAAAACTCAAGTATTGAGACCTAACTACCAACTTTTCAACAGTGTCCTGCTTGCTCCAGATTTTACTTATAAAATATTTTAATTTATTGCTGTTATGCAGAATAAACATAGTAGTTTGATATAGTTTAACTCCTTCAGAGTGTCCTTAACATAATTCACACTGCAAAAGAGTATTATCTCCCATAAGAGCATACTTTTGTCAGTTGACATAGTCTCCTGACCTTTGGAGTTTGGCTTTTTTCATTAAAAAAAAATCTCAGTAGTTTCTGGCAGTTTGTATTCCTTTTACTCTTCAACAAAACAAAACAAAACAAAACAAAAGACACAAACACTATTCTAAACCACTTCCTACACTACAAAGACACTACAAATTAAGTCATTCACTTTGGCCAGAGCAGGATATCACAAGCTGTGTAACCCTTCCAGATAAAATCTCTGAAAATTATGCTACTATAAATTAGCAACATATGCGGCACTACAGAAGGTAAGCCTGGTTTAATCCATTTTACAGACTGCAGAACAAAACTAACTGGAATCATTTATAAGACCATTTTTGTAATGTTAAAAATAATAGCAAGTAGGTAATGAGACAGAGTGAAAATTTCACAAAGTAGAAACCTATTTAGATTTAAGTGAAATGTGCCGCTTTAAACTTGCTAACATAAGTGAAATACGCTATTTAGTCTAGTAACTACAACACTAGCAAAGTTATCCTAGCTAATGAAAAAAAAAAAAAAATACAAATTTCCACACTAAAATAATAAGAGATAAAAAAGACTCCTCAGACTTTGAAGCAAAGCAATGTAACCCAGGAGTTCTTTCTATACTTTCTGGCAAAAACTAAGTACAACTAACTAAAAATATAACACAAAATCAACAGAATAAATATGCATAGAGCTATTGTAAAATTCTATGCATATGAAAATTAATAAAAGTAATAAAAAAAAATCAAGAGTTCTCAAAAGTACACATACCCTTTAAAAAGAAATCCCTGCTGTGTGATAAATCCCAGTGTACGTCCACTATCAACATACCATTCCCTACAAATCTTTATTAAAATTATAAGGTTTTAATTTTTCATCCACGTTTCAGTACAGCCTATGTAAAGTTCCAATTAACTAAGTAACACAGTACAAACTTACAGCCAGGAAAATCTGTCCAGTCCTTGGGACCAGACCCAGCAGGAGAAGAGCGTGTGCCTGCTGTTATTTCTGAAGGGAATGCAGGCACCTGGGAAGGGAGCCCGTGTGACACTCACAAAGGAGCGCAGCTCCGAGAGCACATTTGAGATGACGGCGTTGGGGTCGTCGTACTCCTGCGGCTGCTCGAAGGGACGCCCCGCTTTGCTGATCAGCCACGCGGCCAGCGTGCAGAACATGAAGAACTGCTCGCCGGGGTTGGTGGGCAGCGCAAAGTAGTGCCTGCTTACAAGGGGGACAAGTGGTACATCTTGTGAGCTTCTGCAGCTTACAACACTATAGGTAAGCACAGGCTACAGAGCAGTTTCGTTACCCGGTTTCCTCAATGAGCAATCAACTAAATTCAGGATGCAGCAGACCAAGTTTTCTACATCTTTCTACACTACAGCTTGCTTATTTCCACCTTTGACTAAGTTATTAGTCAACACCAGACCTGGCTGCCAAGTTCCCCAAACCACATCTTTCACACTTTCCTCAAGAAATGCAGGAAGATGGTATTCCTACATTTAAAAATTCAGCTCAGACGAGGAGCTTGTTTTGAAGTGATCATTCCGCCTGTCCTTACCTACTGTGCTTTGGGTTGCTTTGGAAAGCAATGAAAACTGGATCTGACTTGGATCACGCCAAATTCAAATATGGGGTCCTAACAAGAAATCAATCCATAAAACCAGACCACCCCACAAAGTATAAATTACATGCATGCTGGACACAGGGAACTTCTGGAAATGCTTCTCTTTACCAACACAGCCACTCACTAAGGTACACAATGGTCTGCTGTCCTGCTCCAAACATTCCACTGGCTCAAGAGCAGGCTAGAACTGATTTACAGCCACTGTGCTCATACTTGAGCCTCCTTCCCAAAAAGGGAGTAACTTGGACCCCCTTAACAAAATGCTCCTTGTAAGAAGCTTAATTCTGTGACAGCCTGCAATGGAGCCTGGCTAAGAGCGACAAATGGGTTATTTGGGTAGGTGGATATTTGGAGCACATTGGTCCTGTTTCCCAGGCTTCATGTCTCCACCATCATTTAAAAGAAAGACATAAAAAACATTACATATGAAACGAATATATACTGGATATGAAACCCCAGCCTTACCAAAAACGGGCCCTCTTTGCAAAGGGTTAAAAAATACACATATCCCACGAATAGCTATCCTGAATTCAAGATACTTAGAGTTATTTTGAACTACTTGGAATTTAGGCAGAGCTACTTTCTGCCGAATAGGTAGAATTACTTTTTGCACGGGTACCGCGGCACGCAGACACCCAGTACCTGGGGGGCAGGGAAGGTCAAGGGAGTATTATTATTATTATTATTATTATAATCTCAAGCTTTCGGTTCCAGCTCACACGGGCAGCTTTGCAGCTGCTTGTCCCCTGAGGCAGGCACCCTGCCACACGAGCCCCTTCCTTGAGCTGCGAGGGCCCGGAGCGGGCCCGGCCCGCCGCCCGCCGCCCGCGCCCTCAGGCCGAGCAGGCCGCACCTGCACAGAGGCCGCATGTTATGGCGCCGCAGCGCCTCCTCCTCGTAGCTCAGCAGTTTCAGCTTGTCCAGCAGGTCCTCCATGAGCACGAACATGTGAAAAGCCGCGCCGGGGCCGCGCTCCGCCGGCTCCTCGGCCCGCTCGCCGCGGCTCTCCTGCGCCATAACCACGGCAACAGGGCGGGCTGGCTCGGCGTGAGGGCGGCGCGGCGCCGGCCCGCCCCGCCGCTCCGCCGCTCCGCCCTCACACTTTGCCCTCTCCTGGAAGAGCAGCGCCGGGACGGCTCGCTCCGGGCAGCGGCGGTGCGGTGAGTCCCGGCAGCCGAGAGCCGCAGCTTCACCCGCGGTGCCGGCTGGAAGCGCCTGGGGCGGGGAAGGCAGCGGGGAAAGCGGGAAAACTGCGTGTCCCGGGATGCGCTTGGCGCTGGTGGAGCATCATCTCGAGCGCTGTGTCCATCTCTGGACGCCTCACTCACTACCGCATGGGTTTCGAGGCGCTGGAGCGTGTCCAGAGAAGGGCAGCGCAGTTGGCCAAGTGCAGTGCCCATGAGCAGCCTTGCCAGTCTTTACAGCTTCCTAAGAAGGAAGTTTTAGCCAGGTGGGGGTCGGTCTTTTCTCCCAGTTAGCAAGTAACAGGACAAGAGGACATAGACTTAAGCTGCGACAGGATTTAGATTGGACATTGGGTGGAATTTCCCATTAAAGGGGTTTTCAAGCATTGCAATGAGCTGCCCAGGCACATCAGCATTCCTGAGTGTTCAAACTGGACGTGTGCCGTGATCTAGTTGAGTTCATCAGTCAGAGGTAGGACTCGGTGATATCTGAAGTCTTTTCCAACTCCTGAATTCACAGAGTCATTTTGCAGCCAAAGTCCTTGAGGGGACACACACCCCTTCTTGCCACTTCTTCCTGCATTTTTTTTGGAGTTTTTTGTAAGCCCTCTTCCCGAAAAAACTTGAGTCGTTTTATTCTGCTGGAAAAAAACAGGACACACAGGTTTTGACTTGTCGGGAGCGAACGAGTCACTGTTAAAAGCACTTTTAGAAAAGAATTACCTATTCCTGCAGGAAGCCCTAGGCTCCTACCTCTCATTTGAGAAGAGCTTTTTGAGAAGAGCGTCATGACTACTTTTACCTTATGTTCTCTTTCTCCTGGGCCAGGTTCCTGCACTCTGCCCCGAAGAGAATTGCTGCTGTCGCTGCCTCCCCGAGACTGCTGTAAGCTCGCTTACTGCTCACTCATTTCCTCTGTTACAGCTTGCAGGAACTTCAGGTTTGCCAGGCAAAAGTTAACCTAGAAAAAGTTTTTTAAAGTATGAAGTATGTTAGTTACTTGAACCCTGAGCCATACGTGTGGGGCAGCCAGAATGCAGATGGAGAGAGGCCAAGATCAACAGGGAGAGAGATTGTGGAAACTTTCTTCCATTCGGATTATTTCTCAACACCTGAAGTATGAAGTTAGCATTTAAGTTGTAAGGGTTTCATTATGGGGAGGCAGAGAATGACTTCTCTTTTACTGTGGGAAATCCTCTGAAGATTCAGTGAGGAAATTCTAGAAAGCTGGTATCATTGTGGCAGGAGATTTTAGCAATATGTGATTAACATGTCTTTTTGAGAATTTTACTTGTTAATTTTTACCAACAAGCAAACAAGAAAAACAAAAGTATTCTTCTGATATTTCCCAGTCCTCATAAGTGTGTGTACACTTGAAATGCGTTGTTGTTAAGTTGCATTGAAAAGGAATAAATCGGAAACCTTTGTACCAAGAAATAAATTTTATTTGAAAGGAGGATATTTTAGTTTGCCTGTCTGCTCTCAAAGAGGTCACAAAGTACACTGAGCAGCCACCAGTCCTGATGGCTGTTTGCTGCAGGAGTGCTCTGATCGTGTTCCAGCTTGAATGCAGAGCTCAAATATGGGGAAATACTTGGATACAGAAGAAAGTCTTCTTTTCCTGTAATGGCTGAAGCAAATGCAGCATTCCCCCTACCTTTATTTTAGCTGTTCAGTATGTCCTGGGAGATGCATTTTAGCACCTTGCCTTGCTCTTAGGAACCCTGGCTGAGCTGCTCTCCAGTTTAGTCTGTGGTGGTTCTGTATGAAATAATTCTCCTGAAACCTAGAGCATCAGTAACTAACATGACTACGGTGAGCTTAATTCTACTTGTGCACTGTTTGTATACATAATTTCATATTGATATTTCACTAAAAGCCTTATTAGGGCATGACTTCTTGATTGTGTTACGTCTGTGACAAACAGAAAAAGCATGTTTGTTTGTTCAGTACTTTGCTGTGTGACTAATTATCAGCGTACACACACTTTATTCCTATAAGACCCAGAACTTGCTGAAAAGACTGGCCAGAACCTACATTCCTCAGATTTTTCTACAGACTGGCATGCATTTTTCTCTAATGGAAAGATCCAAAGCTATGGTTTGTGCTGAATGTGAAAATTTTCAGCTGAGTAGTTGTAGCTGTGTATTTTTGGAGCAGGGTTATGGGGCACAGCTAGAAGATGGGAGGCAGTGTGCACTGTCCATGCAGCTCCCAAAGGCATCACAGGGGTACCACTGGAACCATGCTACTCTCAGAGCATCACTGCCAGTGGAAGGTGACATGTCAATTAAACACGGCAGATCCCTCACTAAGGGAAATACAGCATTGATTGCAGTTTCTGAAATGGAAACATCAAGCACAGTATATTTTGTTGATTTTGTTCCTCCTCCACCCAGGTAATAGTTACAGTAATGTAACTATTATTTCTGTTATGCATGAGAGGTTCTGGTTCATTGCTGTCTGGCAAAACAGAAAATATGATGAGTCTCCTCCTTTGCATTCCTACCCTAGACTTCCATGCACATGTTTTTGAAAGTGTAAAAAGTGTGAAAAGTTCTCTATATCTGCGGTATTTGCAAATGCAGTCAAATTTCCCATCCCCGAAAGTCAAATGTTGCAGTAATCAGAAAAATACTTTAAAAAGTAGAGAAAAGCAGGTTTGACAAGGGACGTCTTACATCCTTTTGCAAAATCTTCTTGACAGGTTTTCCTTGGTGTCCTGTTCAGGAATGAGGAAGCTAGCCCTGTAACAACACTGAGAGTAAACACTTTCTATTTATTAAAATTAAAGCATCAATCTGCAAGGGGATGCAAGATAACGAGTGAGCCTTCACTATTATGTAATGCATAGGATCACATAATGAATGGCTTTAAGGTCAAAAATCTGGACCAAGTCTGTTGCAAACAAAAACATGATAAAAAGGGCTATAGTCCTTAGCAAGCTGTAGAAAGGAAATTATATATGGACATGTCTTTTATCTGCATTTAAAGAGATTTTCTCCCCTGCTTTTATTTTGCCAGTTTGACCTGAATCTACAAACCAATGAAGAAATGAAAGAACAGAACATACCAACTGTCATTATCTGTTTATTTCACATCAGTGCTACACTTTGGGGTAGGTTTTAGCTGAAAAATAATAAGGAAAACCATTACTATTAATTTTTATTAAGGAGAGTTAGTGAATTCAAGCACTATTTTTAATGGTAAAGAATCAATTTTGGGTAATGTAAAACACTTCTGGAGCTAAAGACTGTTTATCAGGTGGCTGCAGGATGGCTGTGGCCATTGAGCCCCCCAGACCTGCCAATGTTTCTGCCCCACGGCTCAGCAGGCAGTGCTTTTCAGTTCAGACTGAAAATGATTTGCAGCAAATGGGCTGACCTAGCATTGAGAAGACTAAGGAAAAGTCATTTGGATTGTTCAGATGAGCCAGAGACTGCATCAGAATGTCTGAGAAAGCAACTGCCCTTGGGCGCTCACTACCAGCCTAACAGGTTGCAGTCAGTTTTTTTAAAAGATTAAATTGCTCTAGTATGCCAGCAAGGTCTAAGTTAAATGTTGACAGAAATGAGATGCTTCCACTTGTGTCAATTTGTGGAATGTACACCTTAATTATTTCAAGGGGCTGGGACAGAACTTCCTGATGCTGTCTGTGGTGGCAAAGCTGTTTCAAGAAGTTCTGTCCTTCCCATCAATTGCAGCACCATGTCTTTTTTCTCTGTGGTGGTACAACTGCTGGGCACTGTGTGAGGGTAATTGGTAACATATGGGGCATTGCAGCATGGCACTGTGAATGTTTGAACACGTAGAAAGATGCAGCTCAAAAGGCTTTTAAAGTCTAAGGTAGAAAAGATGGGGTTTGAGATGTGGAAACACATTTGAAGCTCAGGTGGTAAGTTGGCAGGGTGCTGATGTGAATATGTAGGTGCTGATTTGGGATTTCTACATAAACTGATTAGAAGTTCAAAGAGCAGAGCTCTGTGTTGTAATCCTGATTAAACTGGAGGGACACCCTTTCTGTCTCGAGAGACTCATGTGACAGAAAAGTCATGAAAGAGACTTTGGCACGCCTCCAAGAGCGTTTTTTTGTCAGGGATAAAAAGGTGCAGAAATATACTTGTAGATTGGATTAAATTTACTCATTTGTACTTACGGGCTTTAGGTTTTACAGAACAGGAAGAAGTAACAGGGCTGTTTTCCAAGGATTGCATCCTCCCTTGTCGTTTCCCACCTGGGCATGATGAAGTAATTCACTGGAAAAAAGAGAACAAATATGTGCACAGTTACTACCAGCACAAGGATCAGCTGCAAGGACAGGATCCACATTACAGACTCAGAACACACCTTTTCCCCGAGAACATCCCTAGTGGAAATGCCTCCTTGAAACTCAGTAACCTGACCATGGCTGACGAGGGTCCTTACACCTGCTACGTGGGAACGGTGCAATATCAAACAGAGGTGGTAGTGCTGCTACACATAAAAGGTCAGTGAGGCATCAAAAGCCCTTGGATCACACCACTGCAAATGGGATGGCACCAGCAGATCTCCTTGTGTTGTTTCTCCCATGGAATCAAAATCCTCCAACCCAGCAGAGCACCTTTTGGGCCTGATGGTGTTATGCAGTAGTTTTTTAGCTCTGGTGAGATATTGCAACATGGATTGGAAAATTTTAGTGCAGCTCTTGTTTTCATAGCCTAATGCACCCTGGTTTCTAAGGGGTAATTATGTGGTACACATAATGTGGCTTCTCAGAACAGTACAAATCTTGGCCTTGTAAGTAGCTGTGCTTTCTTCTGAAATCAAACACAGCTGAAGTTTTATTCTTGGCTGTATTCATTCTCCCCAATGGTATTTCAAAAGAGTAACCACTTCAAGTTAAAAAACATTTTGTAAGTAGTAGGACTTATTTTCTAATTTATTTTTTTTTTTCATCTACAGCTCCTTCTTCTTATGCACTGGAATACCAAAAGACAAACACAGAAAGGAGACTGAAGTGCTATGCTTTTCTCACTTATCTGGCACCATCTATATCTTGGGTACAGGGCAATACATCCATCCAAGAGACAGATCGGGAGGCAACTAGGAATGGAGTTTTCTATTCTCTTAGAAGTGACAAGGACATTATAAACATAACAGATACTTACTACTGTCACATTCATTTGGATCATGAAGTGTGGGCTGCTGAATGGAAGATGCAAGGTAGGAATGAAATCTCTCTCAGCATTGTTAATGAATTTTAGAGCTGGCTTCAGAGTCAAACTAAAGACAGTCTTCCTGCAGTGGGGCAACATGGATATGGGACAGTGCAAAAGAATATACCTTTCTCTTTGAAATGCATTTGTTAGGATTACAAGGCAGCATTGCAAGTTACTTCCGAAAAGTAGGAATGAGAGGGGCTAGCTCACCCTTCTGTAAGTTACCTTGACTCTTAACATCTTTTCTATATCAGTTTCACATTTTAAGAGGTGCCTAATAAACTTTACCCTCTATCAATAAAAGAATTCTGCCCATTGGACAAATATGTGGAAACCTTAGACAATATGTGTGTTCTGTGAGGAAGGTGAAAGTTTGCCTGCTGCTCTAGCTGCACATGAATTTTAATCTTTTGCCAGATTTTTATTGGTACTGTTTGATCCTTTCATTGTACTTCTCTTCACATGCATGCTTGAGTACCAATCTGCTGGGGTGCATGGGAATGGAGAGCAGCAAACAGTTTACATTTTAGAAAACAGCAACTCATTTTGTTAGTTAAGAAAAAGCAGGACTATGAAAGACTGTTTTGTCTTCCTCCTGAATTTCATTGGAAATTCAGTTTGAGTAAATAATTGGTGTTTTTCAACCTGTCCTGTTTCTTAAGGAAATATTTTTAATTGAAGGAAGAGCAATGCAAGAGCAGTTCTCTTGTGAGATTTGCTTCCATCGCCCTGATTAACCCCTAAAGTGTATGCAGACATTCAGTTCCTAACCCACTGCATAAACTCTGGAATAAGAGTTCAGTTTTTAATTTACATGGAATAGCTTACAATATGAAAGGTTTCCAGTATGGCATCATAGTAGCTACCAAGTGCACTGTAAGTGTCTGTTTTTTATCTCTGCCTGATGCACAAGAGAAAAAGGTACATATCATTACACATGTATTGCATTTCCCTGCTTCCATTTAACCCCTCAGTAGAATATTTTGAAAACAAAATGCTTTCCTTTTGTTTCTATAATAGCAGTGTGGGGTACAATTTTGGTTTTTTTTTTGTCTTCATGATTTTCAGCCCCACACCTTTGTTTATTGAACCCCCCTCCCTCACAGAAATCAAGTGTAGCTATACTATGTCAAAATAATCTATTATCTTCCTCTCCAGTTGACTGCCAGCCACCACTGCTGTCAAATCCCTGTTGTCAAACCTGTAGTTGTGCTATGATGTTAATTTGTCTTGTATTAGTAATTTATACATTAGGTGTTAATTCCACTTACCTTCTCCTTCCCTTTCCTGTTTTTTAAAATTTACTTATTAATTGTTAAATGTTCAACATAGAGAAGTAACGTACTTAAATTCACCATAACTGAAAGTTATTCCTAACTACATAGAATCTTTTTATTCTTTTAGTTTAATTATGTTGTGTTTTATCACTTTGCTTCAGATGTGCAGGTATCTGATCAGTTCCATTTTCTCTCTGCTCCCAGCATGTGCAATTTCCTGCTGTTTTACATAGTAACATAGAGTAGACTAAACAACTTCTATTAATAAGCCCCTCAATTAAAGGAAAAATAGTCAAAATTTTAATAAAGAATATTCATAAATATTGCGAATATCAATTAGACTTTTTAGTGTAAGATGCATGTGTTTTTAAAATCTTCAGATGCTTCTAGAAACATACTATGATATTTGAATGCAATATCAAAGCAGTGAAATCTGTTTTTGTATTTGTTCATAGTAGTATCAAACCTAAGGAAAAAAAAATCACAAAATGTCTAGAGAACCTTCACAGTATTTTCCAAAAAAAGTGCAGAGGGCTCTTTATCTGTTTCAGACCACGTGGCTAAGGTGGAAGGAGAGAGCACTGTAATTCCGTGTGAACACGGCAATGACGCTGCAAGCACTGATGGTTTCAGTGTTGTCTGGACATTACACAGAAATGCAGTGACCTCAGTCCTGGCCTCCTTCAATGGCACATCTCACTCTCACCATCCTCGAGTCCAGGTTAACGAAAGTGACTTCTCACTGAGGCTGGATCATCTTACTGCAGGCGACAGTGGAGAATATCTGTGTAATATCTCAACACCTCTCTACACAAAACTTGCTGTGACAACTTTGCATGTCGGTAAGTTGCTGCTCCTTTCATTTCAGAGCATGAGGACCAGTTAGGACAATGCACAGCCTAAGAGTCAATCAGAAATCTCAAAAACAATTATTACATAAAAAGAATCAATGCTACAACAATGAGTTAAAAACTAGTCATGGAAACAACTCTGGAGTTCAGAATATACCCCTTGAAGGGGGACACTGGCTCCACTAGAAGATGCTTTTCTGTGTGAATGTCTTCAGCCTTCATTACATGAATGGGTGAGCATGTAGTTGGGACAGCAGTGATGGCTCTTTGCCAGCTCTCAGGACACTGATGCAACGTGTGCTTACTTTTGTGTAATTTGATGTGATTGGTACCGTTGGGTGGAAGAGAGACGTATTTTATTTTTGTTGGCTCGGGGAGAAAAAAAAGTTACCAAAGATGTGTTTATTTAAAGTCTGGAAGTTCCTTTTTTCAGTCAGCAGCTTATTGTGGCAAAGGTTACCAAATCAGTGTCTGCCTTCAGTTGCCACCAACTGCTCTCATAGCTGAGGGCACAGCAGGGCTCTCAGAATTCTGTCCTAAGTGCTCTGCTGAGGGCAAACATAGCTTTAAATGTAGCAGAGAGATGATGGGAAGCCCAAAGCTTGTGGTAGAAGTTGGCTGTAGAAGAAAGCTTATTGAGAACACACAGTTGTTATTCTCAAAGCTTTAATTCTACACAGCAGGCCTTTTTTAGGCCTGGGGATATATATGTTTAAATGCCTGTGTTTTTATGAGCTATAGTAAATTCCCAGCTGTGAAATCTTACTTACAGTTATTTCATTGTCAGTAGCACATAAAACAGTAGCACACAAACATTTCACACAATTACATACAATCACTGAAAAGACTGAGAACTAATAAAAGGCATCTCTTCTAAACAAAGAAGATAACTTGAAACAAGCCATGAAAAGCAAGACATGAAAAATAGAGACAACATAACAGATAAGGGGGTAGAATAAGTGATAATAACTACAGATGAGCACCTTTGTGGCTTTCAGCCCAGCCTGAAAGCAGATAAGTGGATGGAGACAGTAGGGAATGGGCTAAACTGTGTTGGCAGCCATAGCACAGCAGCTTCTGAGCCATCAGAAGAGTTTCCAAGGGGTGCTGAAAAGAAGGCTTTTGAGGGGAAAAAAGAGATTTACAATCACCTCCTGCATAAGGAAGAGTTGTAGCTTAAAGCTGCTCTTCTAAAGGAATTTACAAGATATAAACATAGGTCTGCATGTGGTTACAGAGTCAAGCTAAAGGCAATGACCAGATTAAATGCTGTTTTAGCAGTTCTTATTTTTTAGCTGTTTTTCAGACATCCACAGGAAGTTTCCAGAGGAATGTAGAATTTTTCAAATTCTTTGAACAAGGCACAGCAGGGAAAAAGACAACCTGAGGTAGAACAGCCATACAGTTCTTCTGAGAGAAGAGTTTGGTGCTGTGCAGAGGTTTCTTCTAGGTGGGCTTTGATCTCCTGTGGAATCCATGGTTATCACTCATCTCAGGATTTCTTGTGCCCACCTGGATTGTTGCGCTATCAAGCTGGGCAACATTTCAGATTAAAGTTGCAAAGATTTTGCAGCACGAGTAATGAAATTTATGATCCAGTCTGGATAACATTTACGGAGCTGCTCTACTGTAAATCAGCAGTGCTCTTAATGGCACTGAGCACCATACCAGGAGACAGTATTTAGCACACTGGGCAGTTGATTGTTTTTAAATGGGACTTTTATTAAGAAGTTGTCAAATCCTATCCCATGAGCACACATAGAATTTGCTATCAGCACAATTAAGTGAAAAAAATCTGCTTTCAGCTATTCACACTTAAGTCAGTAAAGTATCACTTCAAAGTCTTACAGTATGAGTCAAGTAACTTGAACATCGTTGTCCTTGTCTCAGTTTCCTTTTAATGTTTCTTTTTCCCTAAATCATACCTTTTAGATTATATATAAGAAAAAATCATAGCTTTGATATATTTATTGAACAATAAGCACTTCTTTTTTCTACTTGTATTTTCAAAGAAAATTCAGGTAACGCTGGGAAAATTCTGTTTGGTGCATTGGCAATAGCAGTGGCAATAGCAGTGGCAATAGCAGTGGTACTTTTCTGTCTCAAGGTATGTACATCATTAGAGTACTTATTTTTTAAGATACTGTTATACCAAGCCCCTCAAGATTTGAAGAAGGGTCTGAGCCAAACTTTGGAACTTTAAAAAAAATGGTAATGAGTACCTGTGGCTAGACAGTTATGACTAAACATCTGCATTGTTAGCATTGTTTGCTAAACTGATCTTCTGTTTTAAGAAAAAGGGAAGAGAATCCTAATGTGAACAGGGTGTCTGGACAAGGGGCACCAGGAGTAAAGTCAAAAGAACTGAGCAGTAAGTGGGGAAAGGTAATTCTGGCACTGGGAGATTGAAACCTCAAAATGGACCCCCAACTCAAATTGAAGGGAAGTACCTAAATCCAGACCTTGAATATTTATTTGAAGATTTTGTCACAGTCTGAATTTCATAAGCTTCAGGAGACATTTTATGGGTACCATGAGGTACAGCAAAAACACATGAGAAAGAAAGCTCTGAAATTACTATGCCTTAGTCTTTTTTTTTTTCTGTACACAGAGATTCACTTGCATCCTGCTTATTAAACAGCTGTAACATGCTTTAGAGATGATAATATACTTTGAGATGCAGTTGTCTACAGAATTTAAGCAAGATTAGGTTATCTTGGGACCTGTTGGGGTTGTCAAACATATTGTAATCAGAAGAAGTGGAACAGTTGACAGGTTAATTCAGCTCTGGTTACATTGATGGAGGACTAGATGGAAAAACCAGGCATGTATCTGCACTGTTGTGTAGATGCTTATTTTACTCAGATAAAACTAAAATGAAAAATGCTGACTTACCTTCATGGTGATTGCATCTTGTTCTTGTTCCGCTATTAGGGGATTAATTGTACACATCAGTAGTCCTTATAAGTATTTTTATTTTGTCTAGAAGAAAAGGAAGAGAGGAATCATATGAACACGGTGACATACAGGAAGAAAATAGCTCTCTAAACACAGATACTACTGATGTTGGTGATGAAAACAACCAAGAGTTCCTCCACATTCCCCTTTGAGTTACAGTAAGAGCCACATGCAAATGTGATTTTCTGAGCAACAGTAATGAACAAATGGGAAGGAAGAAAGTCAATGGACACTCACGTGAAAAGTCATGGAGCATCTCATCCCCCACATGAGCTTACCTGTTGCTTTTTAACTGGTGAGTTAAACCAGACAGAGCTGTCTTTAACTGGTGAGTTAAACCAGAGTTGTCTTGTAGCAAGTTATTTTGGCACCATGGCATTACCATCTGGAAAGATAAACTGGAATTCTGACTGACAGGCTCTGCCTTTACAAACTGTATAAGCTGCATCAAACTTTCATGATGCAGAAGTCTTCCACACATTTTCCTGGAAACTGGAGTTTCTCCTCAGAGCAGGGATGCCTGCTTTGCACTTAGTCCTCTGGTGGCCGAGTATTTCTTTTGCTAGTTTTAATATAGGTACCTTGATATCATGTACTGTTTTATGTAATCTACTGGTAGTTATTTTGTTTTATAATGTGTCAGAATTAGACCTTTCATGTGTTACCTTCTGTCTGTTCAATAAGTAACTAATTTTATAAATAGCCCTGATCTGCCATCCTTGGAACTTGCAGGCCAGAGTGATTTCTTAAACAGCTTAAATAGCTGTTGCCAAAAATCTGAGGCTAAGGCAGGGCTTGTGTGAAGCTCCCACTCATCCTGTGACAAGTCAGCATGCAAAATTGGATTTCCTAAAGGGACAAAGAAGTTTCCAGAGAAGAAATCCCTAAATTTTAAGGTTTTTTTTTTTTTTTTTTTTCCCAGAGTGAGGGAAAAAGAGCTCACTGGTTTTCATTTCATTTATTATTTTATTTTAAAGTAACAACCATGTCTGCTGTCGACAGCGGCAAGTCTGAGCCCAGCAGAGCGCGCTGGGCTGGCAGTGATGGGGGAGCAGAGGAGTGTCAGAGTGGGAACAGCTGTGGGAACAAAGCAGTGGCAGAGTAAGGTCTGAGAAGCTGGATGCTGCCAAGCACAGCCCACCACAGTGGTCTGGAAAATGGGCTTTGTGACATGGACCATCCTGCTTTTGTCCTGGGGTCCACATGGGAACGGTTGCCACCTTGTCTTAGTCTGGAAAAACATGTGGAGCCAGCTGCCATCTTGTCCTTGTCCCAGGGAACCACATGGACATGACCTACAGGGAGTGTTCACCATCTTGTCTTTGTCCCAGCAGCCACGTGGAACTAAATTGAGCTGGTGAACACCTTTTTGTGGGTAAAGCATCTCTTCTTGTATGCTTTTGTTATGAACTTGTTGCTCTTTGCTGTCAGTAAATTATGTCAACCCACAGTCTCTGCTTTTGTCTCTCTCTTACCAGAAAGGGGTGGGGGGAAGGGGAGTGGCTTATTTTGAATTTAATTTTCTGGCTGTTGTTAAACTACCAGGGATCAGTTCCCTGTTTAAAGGCAAGAAAGACTGAAGAGAATTCATTATTTCTGAGCCACAGGGAGATGTCCCTTAACACCATCTCCTGTGCCTGTCCTGCAGCAGGCAAAGAGAAGTCCCTTGACTGGTGGTAGTGGAAGCTTATGAATTGACTGTTTATATGGAAAGCTTTCTCTTTTCCAAAACTCAGGGTCCTGCAGGCAGGATAAATGGAAGCTGAGTTATCCCAGCTTTAAGAACTGTCCCTTCCAAAGTTTTAATCTGTGCTGCTGTTGTGTTTTTGCAATAGCCATGAGGGGGCATGACCAGAACCCAAATGCTATTTGATACTACCCCACTTCACTGGGGAGAGGGACTGTCTGTGTGGTAAAAGAGGTTCCTTCAGGGAGGGGTCCAGGGTGAGCATTTCTGCATGTGCATCACCCTCTCTTTTGTATACTTTTAAAAATTAACATTGTTGCTGTTACCATTAATTTTCTTATTCCACTGCTGTTTCCAGGAAATTGTTCTTAGCCTGTGGTTTTTCACCTTTTGTGCTTTCAACTCCCAACTCCATTCTGGGAATGGGAAGGGAAGGGAGAGCAAGAGAATGGCAGTGTGGCTTCAGAGAGTGAAGGGAGAAGTACTGTTCATAAACCAGGATAGCTGCTTTAACAATCTGCATATAAAATATGTGAGGCTGTGCAGCATGACTGGATTTGCCCTTAGTTTTGATTTTGTTCAGAGATCTGCCAATTAGGATTTGTTCCAACATAATGAAGTCGGCTGTTGGCGAGATGTAATCTTCTATTGATCCCTAAGGCTTGGCAAAATAAAAAGTAAATAAATGAAATATGCTATACAGTCTGTTTAGATTTTCACTTGATGTTTATTTTTGTAAGTGCTTATTTTTTTCTACATCTGCTTTCAGTTGTGCATGATTATGTCAAGTATTTTCTCATATTTGTCAGCTTGGACTTTTTTATTCCTCTTCATGAACCTGAAAGGCAATTGAGATAGTATGCAACTGTTAAAAAATAGAAATGTCAAGAGGTTTTAGTGTGAGTTCACAAGTAAGTGCAAAAGATGCATTAATACTTCTGTTCCCTGGTATTTGGTATTCTGTTTCCTGGTATTATACCAGTTTGTAACTGACATAGACTAGCAGCAGTCTGGCCAACATTTGCCATCTTATCCCAGCTAACAAGGCAGGTATCCTGTCCTTTTTCTAGATTATATAGATCCTTGTGATGGCAGAGGACTTCAACAACCCTTTTTTAATAGATGGTGGTGCTCTGATTGACACACACTCCCTGCAGTATTCAGGAAATGGGTACTGTAGCAGTAGGCAAGGTATTTCTAATGCTGCACGATTAGAGTAGTCTCTACAGTGTCCTTCTCTCCCCAAAGGACATGTGATTTTTGGGACAGCAGTCTCCACCTAAATGTACCTCCTGGCAGCTCCTGCATTTGCTGCCACGAGCAGCGAATGTTCCACCGAGCTCATCTTTTGACAGAGCAACACTCTGCTCCATTGCCAGAGCTGCAATTGGTGTTGGCAAACAGCATCTGACTAGTAAAAACAGGCATCCACTTTTCTGTGACTTCTGCATGTTTGAAGCACTAAGATGGTACCAGTAAGGTACAGGAAATAAACAGCAACTTTAATAGTATTTAAAAAAATAAATTATTCTCATGGTGTACCTGTTTCAGTGTTTGTGTGATGCCATGGCTTTGTGAATCTTTAAATGAATTTATATTAATTTTGATTTTTTTTTTTTAGGGGTAGAATAATTTAGAAAAATCTGCGGAAATTTTTTATCCTAAAAAGCTGCAAATCTTTTGAGGTTCCATTACAGTACTGCTTAATTGTATATAAATGAGTGATAAACCAGATATTAAGGTAGTTTTAATGTATCTTTGCTCTGGTGGAGCAGCAGTAATTTATATCAGTCACGGGTGATTTCATTAGGTGGAGCAGCAGTAATTTGTATCAGTCATAGGTGATTTCATTAGGCCAATACAAAAGCATAAATTAAGAGTGTAAAGGGCTTTTATTCCCTTAGCTTGGGAGCTATCAACTCCATAAAACATATGTGATGTTAAGCATGGAAGTTTGTTAAACTTGCAAATGAAATAGATTTAGCAATGACCCAGCTCCTGTTCCTATCATTCCTAGAAGTAACAACCTCACTCTTTTTTGCCCTGTTTGCCACAAGGCAAGCATAGATAAGTTTGCTTTCAGTTCCATACTAAGTTCTTCAGTGCCTTCTAGTTTCATCAACATTATTGCTACCATTCAGTTCAAGTGCAAAACACCACAAATATATGTCTAATCACTAATGACTTCCCAGCACCTAAGTGACTAATCACCAATATTTTCTTTTCATCCAGCTCTTCCAGTCAATACAAGTTCATTGAAAGAGCAATGTTAAAATATCTGCTGATGTGGTAATACCCAGGTTTTACTACATACATAGAAATCTACATCATCAGGGAGAGAAAAAGGTGGAGTCTTTTAATATCCTTTGCAAAAAGAAACCCCAAAACCAAAAACAAACCCACCAAATCACCAGTTCTGCTTCTGCTGCTGAGAACAGAGGTTAAATGACAACAAAAATACAGAGAATATATTTTGTTTAAGTATCAGATTGCTGTCCTACATGGTTATCTTAATATTAAAATAAAGGGCAGAATGAAACAAAACAAATGTAGAAACCCAAGATTTTCCTAGTCTACACTACTTTCAGAGGTGTAACAGATACAGAGCATCCACTGTTGTGTGTTAAACACTCACATCTACCCCATACAGTATGACCATACCTTTTTCATGCCAATGTCTCTTGACTTGCTCCTCAGCTTATTAACTTGAGATTCAGCTATTTCAGCCCTTTCTTCAGCATCATCCAGATCATGCTGCTGTTTTCTGTACTTTGAGAGGTACAGATTGGCTTGAGCTTCCTGGTGAGAAAAAAGAGTACAGCTGATTTCCTCCTGTCCACATGAAACAAAGCTTTTAATTTCAAGTGGGATGGAAAGTGCTCAGCGTGAGTAGGTAACAGCTGTATGGGCACCACTTGCCTCCTGCAGAACTGAGATTGTTGTTTTACAGGGTTGATATTTCTAGTGGCATTTTCCATGTTAAGTGAACTGAGAGGCTCTCAATGTGTCTTCTGAGGGGCTAGGAGGGGCTGAGGGGCTGTTCCTTCATCCCCCTTCTATGAAATTATACTGCAGTCTTAGGCTAAAATGGCATACTTTTTCTTAAATATAATCAACACATATGCTATATATTTTACTTTATATATAATATAAAACAGTTATTAAAAGAATTATTTATGGGCACAAAAGATGTATTTGTACTAGAAGTTTCTATGAATAAAAAATTGTGGGTTTAGAACAATACATTTCTCAAAGGTAGAAAGACCCAGATGGTTACTTACAGCTTCCTCTGCTTGGTGCTTGTAACTCTTCACTTTTAATTGCAGCTTGTCAATTAGATCCTGCATCCTGGCAAGATTCTTCTTATCTTCTTCTGACTGTATCAAAACACCATTAATTGGGTTGATAGAGGAAAAAGGCTTAAAGCATCTACCACAGCACAATAATTATGGATGCCATATATATTTTTGAAACTTATAGCTCAAAGCACAAGCTAGCCATGTCCTGTGTACACATAAAAATTTCTACATCGTCATTGAATATACGTGTGTGGAGAGTGAAGACCGAGATTACCTTTCCCATGTATAGATATAAATATAATTTATGTAAAGAATGTAAATATATGTATAAATGTAAATATAAATGGATGTAAAGAAAGATATATATGTGCACACACTTTCAGAGGTGTGCAGATACAGGCAGAGTTCCTTGCTCAGGGTGAGGAGCACGCTTGTCATTATAAATCGTGTCATTATATGTTGAAGCAGATATGGGTGAGCCTGGAACTATGTTATTTGCATAATTTGAAGTTTGATTCACAGGCATTTCTGGTAAAAAAACCTAGTTTAAGCTGTCATGCTCCATAAGCAGAGGGACCAGCTAATTCTGCCTGCACGCTGTATTCAAAGAAAACAACCTTCAGCTTCTGTGTACGAAAGTCAGAATAAAACAACAGGTAGGAGGCTAAATAATCTCCTAAGGCAGATGGATGGGTTTATCTTCTTAATGCTGTTCAAAGCAAAAGGGTAAGTGCTCTGTCCTGCAGGCCTTTTTTGAAGGCCAAGCAGCATGAGCAGCTGTTAGCAAAGCTGCAGGAGGCTCAATAATAGGTGACAGAGCCCTGGGACTCAGCAACCCTACACTGAGCAGGGCATTAGAGCCACCTGAGTCCTATGGCTCCTTTTAGCAACAGCAGCACAGCTGAGAGGGAGCTGGGCTCTTTCTTCCCTTGCATTGTAAATAGTCATTGAGGCCTGTTCCATATTAATACTGTGCTAAAAATGTCCAAATCCCAGCAACAGAGGCTTTCTAACATTAGTTACAGCAAATCAGCCAAGAGGATGATGATCACTGGCACAGGTTGCCCAGAGAAGCTGTGGATGCTCCATGCCTGGAAGTGTTCAAGGCCAGGTTGGATGGGGCTCTGAGCAGCCTGGTCTGGTGGAAGGTGTCCCCGCACATGGCAGGGGGGTTGGAATGAGATGATCTCCAAAGTCCCTTCCAACCCAAAGCATTCTGTGATGGAAGCCATAGGGAGATGCTCCTGCTGTGCCTAAAGCTTCCAGCAGTCAGAAAGCTCTGCCTAAGGCCATCCTTCCTCCTTCACTGTAACCTGAGGCTGCTCAGGACGTGTCTTGCAGTGCCCTGGTGCTTGCTGCATACCTGGTAAGTCAGCTCCTTTATGCGTCTCTCAAACTTGCGGGCTCCTTTCTGGGCGTCCGAATTGCGACGGAGCTCAGTCTCAAGTTCATTCTCCAGCTCAC